GATTTCAGATGTCCCCATAAAAAGTAATCCATCGGTGTTAGTTCTGGGGAACGTGGTGGCCAGTTTACAGGTGCGTCATTACCTCTGCCTATCTATTTGTGTGGATATTGTTCATTCAAGTGGTTTCTAACGTTTAAAGAAAAATGTGGTGGAGCTCCATCTTGCATAAACCACATATCTCTCCGAAGTTGGAGAGGTAAATCTTCCAACAATTATGGCAACGTATTTTGTAGAAAATCCAAATAATTTTCTCCAGTTAATCTTCGTGGAAGTATGACAGGACCAACAATGAAATTACCAATTATTCCAGCCCACACATTAATTTTGAATTCGTGCTGAAAATGGTTTACCTTTATTGCATGCGGATTTTCAACGGCATAAACATGTTCATTATGGGTATTAGTTATACCTCTTCTTGTAAAACCCGCTTCATCGGTAAAGAGAACCTTCTTGACAAAGTTTGGATCTCTTTCTTTTTGCATATTAACAAATAGACAAAAACCCAAACAAATTTGAGGATCATGGACTAATAATTCTTGTACTGGCTTCTTATGGTATGGATATAGCAATTGTTCTCTAAGCACTTTATGAACGACATCTTTACTTACTCCTAGTTCCCTTCCAATTCGTCTGGTGCTTAATTCTGGATCTTCTTCAACACGTTCTAAAATGTCTTCTTCAACTTCAGGAATCCTTACAAAACGTTCTCTTCCATTATCAACAGTGTTGGGAGCAAAGGAACCGGTCTCCCGAAGACGTCTCTCAACAGCAGCAAAAGTTGGGTGGCTAGGTACACGACGATTTGGAAACCTTTCAGAGTACACCCTGACACTCTCTCGAGCATTTCCTGCACAAAATCCTAATGTCAGTAACATATCGGTATAATCTGCATTGGTATATTGTACAGCCATATTAATAAACCACGCATTTGTTTTTTAATTATTGAGTCAAATAGAACACTTTCAATCGTTAACAAGAGATTAGGTGTTAAAACTTGACAATATTTTTATTTAGATGAAACTATGGAAACCAACAATAAATGTTTTTGTATACGTATTGCAGGTAAATAATTAATATTCCTCAAAAAATCGTACATGGCAAGAATCGAGTATTTTTGTTAAAAGTCTCGATTGGAGGTGTTGAAGAAGATATGAAAAAAGTACATTTTTATGTTTATCATCGTATAAAATTTTGTCCGATAATAATACATAGGCGTAGAACTTGATTTTTTAAATAATTGCACCTTTAAAAATTCTACGCCAATGGCAAAAAGAGGTTTGAGTATGAAATTTGGATTGAGTATTCATTTACTACAAAAAAGTACCCTTGATAACACTCGATTTACTCTCATGGTTTTGACAAAGTTTGTATTTTAATAATTATTGTTTATGTTCTAAAATTACTAAAATGCAAATTTCGTCAAAACCATGAGAGTAATCGAGTCTTATCAAGAGTACCTTTTTTAAAGTAAATGAGTGGCGCAATCTAAATTTCATACTCAAACTACTTTTCTTCCATTGGCGTAGAATTTTTAAAGGTGCAATTATTTAAAAAATCAAGTTCTACGCCTATGTATTATTATCGGACAAAATTTTAATACCATTTTTTTGCCACATAAAACTCTACCAATATACCAAATTTCAGCAAAATCGCTGTTTTAAATTTATATGGGAAAAACGATTTAAAAATTGTAACTTCAAGGCCCTCTGGAGCCCAAACGAAGCAACTTTGTACTAAGGTAATTTTACTTAAATCGACTTATTTTGGTCTAAGAAATATGTGGTATGTTTTTGTAAAGACCTTTTACAGACTCCATCTCCATCTCTATGCAAAATATATCATACAGCGTGTTTAAAAACTTAGGAATATCAGCTACTAAAATATGGTGCATTTTTCTTTTATTACCATAGTTAGAATATGACTTCTGCCCATTTTTTTATTTAATTTGATACTAGATAATTTTTATAAGTAATACAGGATGTGAGCTACATAAACAACTAAGAATTACAAAAACGCATTTAGCGAGAAACTTGGTATACCTAAAATATTGTGGAAAGTTTGAAAACCAATTCCGTTTTGCTCGTATTTTCATAGCTCTTTTTAACTAACCAGAACCCGTTCTACGCCTACTTAAATGTAGAAATAATTCTACTAACTCTGACTCGAATGAATGAATGAATGACTGAGAAGACATATTCAAATTTAAAAGCACTTTGTGATTTGTATATACAGTACAGATGACAGCTTATCACTTGTAAATATAATTAATTCTATTTTTGTAGATTTAGTAGGTTTATTTTAGTTGAATTAAAACCTCATAAAAACACTTGTACAGTTTTAGCAGTAATACTTTAATAAAAAAAATTTCGTGATTTGAATACTGATGGTATTTAATCCTGGTCAATTCTTATTGTTTAGGTATTCCATACCACTAAATACTTCTATCTTGCTTTAGACTACTTTCTAAACATATGATATAACTTTTTTTATGTCTTTGTTTATCAATAAGAATAATTACAAAAGGATTCTATAAGCTAAAAGGTTGGCGAGCGTTAGATTAACTAACAGCTAACTTATTATGATACACGGAAAAAAATGTGACTAGAAAATTTTACTACAATGTTGTAGTAGTAGACTTGTAGAAAAATACTTAACAATTTGTAGAAAATTTTACTACAATTTATAGTTAAAAACTATTAATTATTGTAGCAATTGAATTGTCGAATAAAATGCTACAACAATAGGAAAGAAGTCCACAATGTTTAGTATATTTTACTATTGTTTGTAGAAGTAGAAATTTATTACAATTATCGTAATTACTACTAATAACTTCTGTAAAAATTTGTACAAATATTAATAATTATCTCTACAAAAAATAGTAATTTTCTCTACAAAAAATAGTAATACTTTACATCCCTTCTTATAATAAACATTCAATTTTGTTGAAAAATATTCTACAATATTGTAGAAATTCTTAGTCATGTGAACAAAACAAAATTCTGCTATTGGCCAACGTTTTCTAACGTCGATCATAAACGGCCAGACAGCAGTAGCCGTTCGCCATGTCCACATAACAAAGCATGGTACATTGTACGAGTACCTATAACACATTATTATATTATAAGCACCGATACGTTTGAGAAAATTTTAATAATAAATTCTATTGGTGGTAAGTACATTTAATATTGTTTCTGAATAATTTACATTTAGATAACTAATTTAAATAACCTTAGTAGATTATTTTAAAAAAATAGTTCTGGCCAACGATCGAATGTTGTGCCCAACGATCGAATTTTGTGCCAAGTTCAATGATATTTTTTTGTCTTAATTGTGACATACCTACTTTCTCATTTTTGTTAGTTATCTGACTTAGTCATTTAATATCCAAATCAGTGTAAAAGTGATAAATATCCCCGTTTTAAGGGTATGAACAGTTCAATTGGTATTAATTTTTATTTCATATTTTTCAGGTGCAGAAAAGCCAACTGAGACTGAGGGCGCTATTATTACTGTTATTTATTACATAATGTAATTAAGAATTTGTATCTTTTATATTAAAACAATAAATTGAATATTTTATTAAGGAACATTTTTTTCTAGGTTATAATTATAATAATTATGGAATACTACTACAAATTTTATTAAAAATTACTACAATTTGTATGAATTTTTACTATTTATTGTATAAAATTTTCGTATTTATTTTCATAAAACGCAATACATTTTTAATATAAATTCATACAATGAATAGCAAAAATTATAACAATTTGTAGAACAATTCTTATGATGCATTTGGATATTTTTACTAAATATTGTAGATAATAACTCTACAATACATTCTCCACAAATATTTGGAAATTTTTACTACAAATTGTCCCTGTCCCTATATGTACTATTTATTGTAGAGAAAAAATCTACAATTGTAGAAATTTGTTCTACAATTTTTTTTCCGTGCAGCGTTGTAATCTTTGCAATTTCATCCTACATTCTATTTTATATTGTATATTTTCTCTTTCTTTCTTGGGCCATGTTATTAGGAACAATTTTAAAAGTTTGTTATTAAGAGATTTTGTTAGGAAATTTTATATGTAGCGTGCTTTCGTTTTTTGCAATATATTCGAGATAATCCGATTACTAGATATTGTACATGTAAGACTAATTCAAGAGCTATACGCATGTGTGCTCATATTTTAAGTGTTTTGTGGTACCTGAAATACGTATAATTCGAAAATTAAATACCGTTGAAAGATGAGTCAGATTTTGATGGTGTGTAAATAGTTAATGTAAGTAAAAAGGTTTATAAAAATGCAGTTTCTTTTTTCTTTTTTATTGATTTATAATTTATTGGGAAGTTTAAAAATCTATCTACAGAAACTGTTATATTTTTGTATTATATATTATTTAATGTCTTTTTGTCACCCTGTATTATTAATAAATATTATCTAGTATTTAATATAACAAATTAGTGATAAGAAGTCATGTTCTAATTATGGAAATACATGATAATGCACCTTATTTCAGTAATTATTATTCCTATTTTTTAACACACTGTATTTTACAAAGTGGAAGTAAGCATTAACAAGTTATTTACAAGTGTGACACATGCCTTAGGTTTCATGGAAAAAACATGAATTACTTAAGAGTGGTAGAGATATAATATGTGACAATATTTTTTCTGCACTACGTACTTTTGACCTCTTCTAACAGCTCACCATGTAGAGCTGCAAACTTGAAATCCATAAGAAAGTTGCCCATAATGACCCAAAAAGTAACTAAAATTTGAACAAATTCTGATAGTACCCAAAATCAATATAAAAAGTGCGGGTTCCTTTCACTAATCGATAAGACGATTGTAAAATTCTTTGAACTTTTGATTCATTCTAAAAATATGAAATTTTTCATTTATTTTATAATCTAACAGAAATTAATTATTATGAATTGCATTGGTTTAATGTTTAAAGTAAGCACTTGATTTTTTATGGAAATCACAATAGAATTACCTGTTCTTCCTCTTCATGTAGCAGTTTGCCTCTTTCCAAAGCCTTCTGAAGTACATCTACTGTTTTGTTCAATTTAATCACTTCTTCAGACGTAACCTGTAATATAGATAATATGACAATCTAAAAAGATGGCAGCAATAAAAAAATTGTTACAAAAATTAATAAATATTAAAGACTATAGGAAAAGTTTTCCGATTATTTAAGAAATTTAGGTAGGTTATATAACTTCGGATATTGGCGTCTAGTAAAAATACTACCTAATATATTTTTTCGCCTACCATATGTGAAAATGAATCATATCAACCCTAAAAATATGACCGAAAGTAACGTATATCGTCCCATTGGCTGCTAAACTCATAACAGCCCGATTAAGTAGTTTTTCACTAGATATCTAGATACCTTTGACTGTCACTTGCGTGCTTTGACGTTTCACATACATTTTGATTAAACGTCAGTGTAAGTCTATTAGTGAACATGAATAGTCATTCAGACAGTGACGAAGAATTTACAAATACTCCACCAAACTTGCAAGAGGGAGCCAAAGTGATAATTAATATTAATTACTACAATAAATAAATTCGTACATTTTACTACTTAAGTTTCTTGTATTTGTAAAATTAAAGATTTTCGTTATATTTTCTTTTTCTTTGTTTTTTTGGTAGGCGAAAAACAATTGTGTCACACATGCAGAAAACGCTTTAGCAGCCCTCGCTTCGCTTCGCTCGCTCCTGCAGCTAATAGCCGCGGACTACTAAAGTTCATTTTCTGCCCTTGTGACTCAATATACTATATATAAACCTCGCTTCATAAAATTTAATTTTAAAGAAATTTGCAAAGCCGTTTTCTGCCGGTTTGGCCCTGTTCTAACAATCGTTACAGAAATAATAATCAAAAAGACTTACTTTACTAGCAACATGTAACTGTGTTCTTAAACCATCAATTGTCGACAACAAATTTTCGTTCTATAAAAATGATAACAGAATATAATAAAGATATGCAATTTTTAAATTAAAAATACCATTTCACGTACGCGTTGCAACTCTTTAAGTAATTTCTTATTTTCTTCAGATAATTTGTTAGCTTCACACTTGCATTCCGACTAAAAAAGTTTTATTTGAATATTCAATATTATTGTTCAGAATAGGGAAGGTAAAAAGATTAACTCGAGGGTTAACCCAATTCAGAATAACCTTGCAACGTGATGGCACATTGCAAGGAATAAGTTGTTACTTTTAATCAAAGTGGATGTTATTGGCTTTGTACACGATGTGTAGATAAAGGTAAAAACAATATTTCTATTTCGTGTAATATTTCTTACCAAAGATATCGGATTGATGTCTATGGTTCTTACCAGAACGCTTTTAGCTTCTTCTTCTTCATTGGTAATTGTAGACATATTTTTAAGAAAATTCTTCCTTCAGTAATTCTCTGCCATGCCACTTATGTGTAATTTCTTAATTTATTGATGAATTTTACTTTAAATCCTGCTCAAAATATAATACTTTACAAATGACGTGACAATGAATTACTGAAAGAAACATTTCCTAAAAAAATGCAACATTATAAAGAATTTATATGCCGACAATTAATTAGCACATGGAACAGAGCGAGGTGACTTTGGCAACGCATCTGCCTCGTATTCGGAAGGTAGTGGGTTCGATCCCCATTGATGCCGCCTGTCCTGCTATAAGTTTTTTCAGAGAGGTTTTTATAGGAATAGACAAATGCTGGGTCAGTAACATCTTCTTAGATACCTTTCTTCCACCCCAGACCTTCAGACTCCTTTAGTGCGGTAGAAGAGGCTCCGAAATACACATCCTTTACCTTTTTACTGAAAATGGCGATAGCTAAAAGCGCTCTACTAAGATAATTTTCTTTAAAACGATTACACAAAATAAAAAATATTTTTTACAGTTATTATAGTAGTAATCTGTGAAGAGTATTATAGATTTACTTTGGAGGAACCAAAATTTTTAATATCGATCAAAATTTAAAAATTATTGTACCAAAATTCTTATCAAATTTTAAAAATGTGCGTCCGATGTCACCTTTTTTGTCCACACGATTAGTCAAAAAACGAAAAATGATATCCACTTGAAAATGTCAGGAAAATTGAAGCTTTATAAGGGGACAAGACCTATTGCTTTTGAAAAATATCTAATTAAAAATGGGGGGTTAAAAGGGGTTGAAATAAAAAAAAAAAGTAAATGCGATATCAACACAAAATGTTAAGAGCGATATCCATGCAACACCTAACAGCAAATTCAGATTTAGAACACACTGACAACTTTCAGTGCATCTGAACCCACTTTGGCAACGTTGCTCTATTCCCAGGCTTACGCTCCCTTCAATTTATTACTTATAAATGCTGCGTTTGAGAATCCACATCGGATGCATTTTTTACATCTCGAGCGTTTTTTTATCCACATCGGACACATCTGTCCCATTACATTTACGTATACTGAATCACGTGATCAAAGATTTTTTACATCTCAGATGCATCCGATGTGGATTCTCAAACGCAGCAAAACTATAGATGATTTAAAATATTAAAAATGCCGATAAATCGCAGGTCCGGTCTAACAAAGAGTATTTCTGTTTTGTTTTCTCGTTTAAAATATTTTTTAAAGGTATAACCTGGTGTAACATTTTCGAAATTTTTTTTTTATGACTAATTTATTTATTTACGAAATATATTTTTAAATATACATACGTACCTATTTCTACATTTTCTTATATACAGGGTGTTTGTTGGTAAGTGTGAATGATTTTAGGGAATGTTTGCCGAAGTTATTTTATAAAAAAAACATAGATCGAAAAAGTCAGTGGCGCAGTACTTTTTTATTAAAAAAGTGGCATTCTCGCACAAACGCCACTGGTACAAGTAGAAATATTTGGAACACCCCAAAAAATACACATTTGCCCCTTCAAAGTTTTTTTGCAAATTTAGAGTAAATATCTTTAAAACTATTAAAAATAATTAATAAAATTTAATAAATTAAAATTTAAACATTCTGTATCTCGGAAACGAAGCATATTTCGACCTACTTTTATAGGAACTTTTTTTAACAAAATAACTTTGATAACAATTTGCAAAAATCGTTCGTACTTATTTACAAATACCCTGTATAAAAATACGTTTTTTAAATAATAACCCATTTGATACTAGTTTGTGCAACAACAGTGGACAATCCACTGGAGTTGTACAGTATGTTTTTTTCTACGACCCACTAACGAAAATCTACAAATTTAAAGTATTATTTTAGGAAAAGACAAAATAATTAATTTTAAAATAATTTATGACTTTACTAATTTGTGAAATAAAATAAACATGAAAAAATATTTCATTTAATTAGTCCCCAGCCCAGATTTGAACTCGGGCCTCTCGAATGAAAGACAGATGCCGTATCATCATTTTCACCTCCACATCTAAAATTTTAGTTCTAAAAGTAGTAATTAAATTAGTTTCATATAGGTAGTTTAATTCAAATTTAGGATTTTTTAAATTGTGGTCTAAATTAAAATTATTTTTGAATCCTACGCAAAAATAACTCATTTTAATGTATATTTAATCTCAATTCCTAAAAAATATACTGACAATTAGTTTGACAGAATTGTCACTTATTTAAAATTTTAAAAATAATAGTTGTTGGGTGTCCAATATATAAACTGTGATTGGTAGATTTCATTTTTTTGCAGTGTTCTCACTACCCAGAATGGATATGAAATATATTCGTTGAGTTGAACGCAATAGTATATTTTTTCGTTTTGTATAGTCTGTGCGTGAATAGTAGTTTGTGCAACAAAATTGGATATGATGGCCATATCGCACGAAGACGAAGTTTCAGAACGACGCCGTAGACGGAGTGCTTAATCGTCTGAGTGCGATAAATAAATAATTTTAAAATAATGTATGACTTTTAATAATTTATAAAATAAAATAAACATACAAAAAGATTTAATTTAATTAGTCCCCAGCCATGATTGGAACTCGGGTCTCTCGCTTGGAGACAAACTCCGTGCCGTCGCCACACTTGCCATTATAGTTTTAATACTTGTAATTAAATTAGTTTTATATGGTTTGATTAAAATTTAAGATTTGTTTATAAATTTGGACGAAATAAAAATAGAAATTCTATTACTTATCGATTATACATAATAAATATTCATTTTTACGTATATTTAATCTCAATAATTCAAAAATATACTGACAGTTAGTTTGACTACATAAAATTTAAAAAATAATAGTAGCCGGGTGACCAATATATAATCTGATTGGTGGATTTAACTGTTTTGCAGTGTTCTTACTAGGTAGAATGAATATGAAATATATTCGTTCAGTTGAACGCAATGGAATACTTTTTTGTTTTGTAGTATGTGCGTAGATTAGCTAATATTCATGTGGGTATAGAAAAAAGCATATCCATGTGGATGTAGAAAATAGTAGTTTGTGTAACATGAGTGAATATAAATTAAATTGATTTCATATAGTTTAATTAAAATTTATAATTATTTATTTCTAAATATAGATCAAATAAAACTAGAAATGCTATTATTTATCGATTCTACACAAGTATAACTCATTTTACGCAATAGCATATTTTTTCGTTTTGTAGTCTGTACGCAGTGTTGTTCCTGGTTGTACAATTGTACAAAAAGTTGTACAATCAGTTATGCGGTTGTACTGTTGTACGCACTTTTGAAAAAAGACAGAAATGTTGTACAATTTGAAATTGCTAAATATTTATGTAAAATCGGGTATATAAAAGGTTTTCTTCGCTCAAAAAGTCTACGATTTGTTAAATAGCATACATTAAAATTAATAAAAAAAATAAAAGTTTAAATTTGGCGCCATTCGCGACCAATCAGCACACCGTTTTACATCAAAAATATATTTTAAACTGGAAAAAAGAAGAATTTTAAGCATGGGAAAGTAGTAGGCCATAGTCTGTCAATAAATAAGAAGAAGATTAATTAGTGGTTGTACAATCGAAAGTAAAAGTGTACAATTTTGACACTGAAAGTTGTACAATTCAAAAATCCCTAGGAACAACACTGTCTGTACGTAGATACGCTATCCATTTGGGTGTAGAAAAAATTGTTTTCTAGTACTAAAAATATTTAAAAATAACATTGAGTAAAATTATTTATTATTAGTAAAAGAAGGAATAAAAATAATCATTTTTATTGACTATTGGTCGGATTTCTACTCGGATTTCTACTCAAATTTCTAATATCTAAACCTCTAGTGAAACGTGGATCTCGGGTAGTATACAATCTAAATAAAATTGCTTTAGTTTGTTTTCCATATACACCAAAATCTATCATCTTTTTATTTTTTCTACTAACATACTTAAAGGTATTAAAATAAATAAAAAAAAAAAAATATTGCATTATTGCATTTTCGCATTATCATTAATAATTGCAAATTTTATTATGTTGTCAACCATTGCTTTTTTCGGAGTCAGTTTTGAAGCAGTGGCAGGATATTTAATTTCGATAATACTGTCTGTTCCTAATAAACCGTCGGAACCTAAAAACCATATTCAGAATCCACAAATAAACCACATTTATTGGATATCCGCTTTAAATTTGTAAATATTTCTTTAAAGCTAAAGGTTTTTTTTATTCAATACTTAGTATTTTAATTTCCCATATATTTTAACTTTAATGCTTAGAAGGGGTGCTAATGTTTGTCTTTTTCTAAGTAATCTAGCACGATATTTTATAGATTTCCGTCGAAACGGAAATATAATTTTCGGCATTTCCGAAAGTTTTCCCATTTTTATCACAAATTATTATAACTCAGCTTACACATAAAAGTTCATATAAACACATTGACTAAATACGAAACAAAAACACCTACACTTGAACTAAAAAGAATAAAGTTTTTTATTATTTTATTTTTATCCCAATTTTCCGGTACTGCATGCACCGCCAACGTCCGCCGCCTTGTTGCCAAATCAATTAATATGGATTGGAATCTTGACAGATTTTCTCAGATTTCCTAATTCAAGGTTTTCAAAAAATATACGCTTTGGACAAAAAAGTGTATTGGAAAGAATTAGCTGATTTTTATATAACAATTCCCGGTAAAGAGTCCTTTTTGCAATAATTTTCATAATTTGTATAGAAATAATTAAAAAATTAGTTTTTCTGAATTCGGGCTCTACAGCGGAGTTCTCTATCATTTGCTTAGTAGGTATACCAAATTATATAAAAAAATATTTAAAACTGAGAAAGAGAACCTTGAAGTCGTTTTAAGCCTGTTTCTAACCATGGATATCGCTCTTAAGTAATAATCTTAGAATATATATAGTCAGGAAGGAGAAATCCTAAACGACCTTGGAATCACGATGGTATCTAATTTTGACAGTGAACTAGACGAATATGACGACAAGTGTTTCCGGTCTACCAGTGACGTACTGTCATAAAGGGGCGTAGAAAAGAAAATAATACATTATCATTTGCATATTATCTAAATTTACCGATTTCTCTCATTTTAACGAATTACTATTTTCTTGCGAGAAGTTTGCATTTTTTTTATTAACCTTCATTATGTGAATAAATTTTACTTTAAAATTGCATGTTGGGTGGGATAAATATAGGAAGATATTTTTGGGATAATTTATAGAGGGATTTCATTTGAAAAATCAAAGCAATAATGTATTAAAAAAAAATTACTTTTTTACGTCTTTATTATGACAATGTCTTTATTAACCTACATTTTACAAATTATTAAGGTTTGAAAAATAAATATGTTTTGTAGATATGCGTTAAAAAAATTAAATATCCTATACTTATATTTAGGTCAAACACCGCTGTGATATTTCTTCCTTAGATGTTTTTGTTGGAATACATATAAAACTTCCTAATATCGAAGAGAATTTCTGATCATTTTATTACATAATATTATTAGTAATATTTTTTGCAAGACAATTTTACATAAGCAGGTAAAACACTTTTCCAAGAAAGGATCCTATAACGTAATAATGATTCTATGAGTGCATAATAGATTATTTTTAAATGTACATTCAACGCATTATTTGTATGCTTAGTCCAGTTATGATGAGAGTCAGTTTGTACTCTAAGGTATTTGATATCATTTGTAATGCTTATATGAAACTACTGAACGTTACCTTTTATTATTTCTATAGGAAGAAGCCATCTTTTTGTAACTGTATAATGGATCAACATAAGTTTTATCAAAGGTTTGTAAGTTTTTGTAATTAAACCATTCGAAAAATTTTATAAGATCTGTTTCTATTAGTAATTTTAATCAATTCCAGTTCTCTGCATTTTACAGAATAACTGTGTCGTCTGAAAAACTTACAATATTTCCATCTGTATTTAAACGACAAATTATTTAAAATAAAATTAAACAAGATAGGACCTAAGACAGTATCTTAAGGCATGCGATATGCTACTTATTTCCTTACTTGAGATATATTATTAATTCTATTTGTGTTCGTTTTTGGAAATAACTTTGTAATAAATTATATATGGTGCATCACATTCATACAATATACTTCTATTATACAAAAAAACGGCACATAATATAGTTAGTAAAGAATTTATTTACTTATATACTTCGACCGGACCACTTTTATTGTTGGAACAGCTGTTGGTAGAAGTATTATTCTTGGTTTTGAGGTTCTATCAAAACAATCTACTTTAAAATGGCGTGAACACAAAAAATTAAGATATTTTGGCTCACGATTTGTTTGTTGTATGAACTCAAGCCATAACTTTGTTTTTGAAAATTGTCTACTTGGGATTAATTTGTAAATCTAGAATCTTTAAGAAATCTGAAAATTGTTTACTTGCAATCAATTTATAAATCTAAATTGAACAATATTTTATTCATTTTAACACCACATAAATATCTTAAAATTGCATAAAAGAATTGTTTAAATAAAAGTATGTATACCCTATAAACCATGAGACTACGCATATGAGCACAGTTGATCGCAGACGCACTTACCATGTTTGTTTATAAATTTAAAACAATAAAAATCTTTAATGTGGTTGAAAATTGAGAGAACAAAATACTTGCTTATGAAATGTAGATTATTCCTTTCTACTTTTAGCTGTGCTGCTATATCCACAAGACGAACAACTGACCATATTGTCTTGTTTGTCTTTTAACGCGGAAAATTTAAAATTAACAGTAATACTAAATACATACTAAAACACTAAACACTTTTTAAAAATGTCTACAAAACATACGCTTGATAAAAGTTTAAATTAACACATAAAACATCCAACTTATTAACAAATTTAATCACTAAAATTATAAACCAATTTTAGAAACAATTTTATATGATCCATAGTACAACATGGCTACCACTTCCGTCAGATAGATTAGATTAACGCGGACATGGTATGCTCCTTCCTGACTATATATGTTCTAAGGTAACAATCAATCTAATCAATCTCTATAAAAAAAATTGTATTAAAATGGGGGTTAAGGGGGCTTAAAATATTTAAAAAATCCTAACTCAGAAACAAAAACGATATTAACTTGAAATCTTCAGGAAAATCAAGCTCTATAAGGGGATGAAGTAAGGTCGGCTCTAAGACGAATTTTCGGAGGAGGAATAGGAGGAGGAGGAGGAGGGGGAGGTGGAGGAGGAGGGAGGGGGCATTGCCTTTAGCCATTCCCCATTTAACATTTTTTTGAATAAAAGGTCCATAAATCGTAAGAATTTTCATCTCGGGGGGCATGGCCCCTATAGCCCTCCCTGGAGCCGCCCTTGGGATGAAGTTAAAAAAAAACAACAAAAACTGATTAAAAATGAGGGGTTAAAGGTGGTCTATTAAACTGTGAAGAGTATAGACTAGAGCAGGGGTGCTCAACATACGGCCCGCGGGCCGGATGCGGCCCGCCATTGTCGTTTTGGCGGCTCGCCGGCTGTTGACCAGTTTGAAAATTTGAGTTGTGCATGCCTGGACTAGAGTATAGAATGCCAAGCATTATATATCTTCATTCTAGTTTTTAATATACTACTACTTTTTCACTTCAATACGCATAAAAATCATTAGTCAGAATTTCGAATCAAAAGCAACCCTTTTTATAATTTTTATAGGCAGTATTAAGGTACCATTTGGGAACGCGCGACCCGCGACAGGAGACCGAGACACCAGTGAAGCGGCAAATATTGCCATACTAAATCTGATTTCGTCTGTCGCCTCTACCGAAATGTGTTTCTTATAATTACAGTGGTTCAGACGTAAAGCGACCGTTTAGTGTCGCGGCGCGTTTTGAAGTTGGTCTCTGTCTCGGCTTGCGAAATGGTAGCTTTAAGCACATCCCCAACTAGTCATTGATAAAAATGTATTTGTTGTGAAGTCAAGGCCTAAATTATTCCATCTCTAAATCTAGTCATCATCCTCTAATCTGGCTGTATTGAAAAAAGGAAATAGTTAATTATAATATAATTTTTTCAGTAAATATTTAATATAGATTGTTTTATTCCTAATTATCATTTTAGCAGATATTTATTGTTTTATAAATTACCAGGTGGCCAAATATAACAGGACGCCAGTTGTCGTTGGCTGTAATAATAAAAACTAATATACAGGGGTGTACATTCGACCGACAACGCTCTACCACAGAGAGCTCTCGTTAATTGATGAATTTTAATATAGAAACCCTTAAAGAGCTTATAAGTACCGAGATACAGGGTGTTAGAAGTATTATAACAAAATTCAAAATTTGTCATAAATCAAAAAATCATGAAATATATAAGGTGATCTATCTAGATATTGTCAAATACACGAACTAGTAAAAATTTGACACGTGCTTACTAGATTGGAATTTAGAAATTATTGATTCATTACAATGCAGATTTTTGTTTAAAAGCAAATTTCTGTAACATGATTCATTTCAGCTCTAATAAAGGTAATTAATATTTTATCTGAAAATGAACAAAGAATTAAAAAAAGTAATACGTTTATCCCGGCGGCGTAAAAAATAGGGGGAAAATTGCCACTAACCTTTCTATTTCCACTTTTAATACCCTGTATCTCGGTAACCAAGGCCTTGTTCCTATATCAAAATTCATCAATTAACGAAAGCTTTCTTGGGGTAAAGTGTTGTTGATCGAATATACTAACACCTTGTAAATAATAGATTTTGAATTAATTGTATATTTTGAAAATTACCTACTTGAGGATAGTACAAGGGTGCATTTAAATTCTTTTCGTATTACTTCCCAACAAGAATAGATATAAGATAAAAATAAAATATTGGGATTCGACAAAAAAACAGTGATCATTTAAATATACTTGGTACAGAAAATATAGATCTGGTTCTATAAAATTAAATTTTAAGTATACAATGAAACACTTACTTTCCTGGCAACATGTAACCGTTTTAAACCATCAATCGTTGACAGTAAATTTTCATTCTAAAAATATATTTGATTTTAATATATAAAATGTTTAAATTATTATTAAAAATTACCATTTCGCGTACCCGTTGCAATTCTTTCAGTAATTTATTATTTTCTTCGGTTAATTGATTAGTTTGACACATAACTTCTGACTAAAACATTTTTTTTACATGATAATACATTATCAAGTAGGTACTAGAATTATTACCTAAATAAAAGTTAGCTACTATTATTTTATCATTTGCTTTTAATATAAAATAATAGCTAACTTTATTAACAATTTTATTTTCGCAAATAAAATATATAGATAATAGTAAATTTTCCATTTTCTTTATTTTTTTTAACAATCCACAAAATGTTTTCATCCACCTCGCTATTTATTTTGTTTATTAATTTATAAATAATATCCAATTAATTAAGAAAATATCAAAACATACAATAAGTACACTTAGTCTCTTTTTTGCTTTCTATACGTATTAATGCTAAACTCCCATAAGCTTTCACATTCTCACAGACTTGGCCACTGAAAATCCAATATTTAGCAGTAATTATTAGATCATCAAAAATGCTGGAACATTTCGAATTTTATTTCAAAGGAGACATTTTTTCCGATATAGTCCCCAAGCAGCAAGGTGCCGTTTATTATGACGTGATTTTTTGGGTTCACTCGTCAGAAGCGTCATTATCCCAATTAATGACGTTACTTTGACGTCGCTTTTGCAACGTTAATTAGACGTCAATACATACTCGTAATTATGACGTAATTTTTTAGTATTAATTTATCCGAAATACAATATCCGAATCAGTAACGTGTATTTGACGTCGTATTGATGACAGAATTGACGTAACTTAGAATTCGTCATAATTACGTTATTTTTTTCGTATATTTTAATACTTAAGTGTTGAATAATAAAGAACCTAACTGGAAATTTGCTTCAACTGAAAACACGTATATAATAAGTTTGTTCGAGCTGCAATTTGTAATTTTTTTTGGTAAAATTACGGTGCCTTATGTTTTGATATGGATAATTAGTAACGTTCCGTTTTCTAGCATTAATCATTCAAGATTTTGTTGCCTGTCTTTTTTTAACGTATTGCTAACCCAATTCCGATGTCCTCGAATATCAAATTGCAATAAGTTTTGCTAATCTAGTACAATTGTACTGGATCTAGTACATGCTAAAGGTAACAGGTATGCTAGAAACGAAATTCAGTACATTGTCCGCTATCGTCCAGTGTAATTAATATAAGTTAAACTAGTAAAAGTTCCGTAAAGACTTAATAAATCCTAAACAATTGATAATATTCCTAAGGCAACCAGAGAGGAAACCGATTCTAGTACATTTTATGAAATCTGGTACAATTATTTATACCAATCTACTACTAAACTAAAAAATAGTCTGTCGATGTCATATTGTCATTGTTGTTTCCCGTTTCTTCCATCTTCATGATTCTCGTTACAGTCATGAACGTGGTACATTTTTAAATTGTACTTTATTTGATAAGATGTTTTATAAAAAGGTAAAAAATAGAATGTGACAAAATAATAAAGTATATTAAACCGAATTTGGTATTTTACAGATGTATTGCATTGTTGAGTTTGAAAAACCGGATGATGACGGTCTGGTGGTTGTGAGGTGAGCAGAAAATGGCTGACGCCGCGTAAATAAACAAGTGTTTTGGCCGCCTTTATAAAGAAATATTATATAAGACTGAATTGTTATACTTTTATTTTTTGATTATGTTCTTTCAGGGTATTTTTTAATAGTTTATTTAAAAATGAAAGATTTATAGGGGGTCACTTGATTTAGATACCTTTTATCATATTACAGGATAAATGATCTTTTTTTTAATCACTTTTATTATAAACTCCGACTATATCTATACTCAGAGGTAGTTTTTGGGGCTACTACCTCAATCTCCGGTGAAGTAATTCCCTCAGATTTTACAATTAGATACACAATTACTTTCTATCTTTAAGAATTTTCAGTGGTCTGTATTTTAATAGTTCTTTTATTTTAGATGATAATGATACATTATTGTACCAAATTAAAAAAAGTCGAAGTTACCTCAGATCTACAGTCCGAGGCTGATAAAGTACATACTAAAAGAAAACAGGTGCCAACTAGAAAGCTGTCATTCTATGATACTGAAGATGATGAAATCGTAAAGCATGCTCGCCCACCCCCAATTAAAATTAAATCTGCAATTTTAGGTGTTGTGCCAGTTCCTCTAATATTTTTTTTTATTTTGGTGTCATCGGCCTCGACTACTACGGCCATTAGCCTCGTGTTCTGTGTAGGCGTTGTTACTGTTTCCTAGCGCCACTTTAGGAACAGCACTGTTAATTAGAACCCAACAGTGAATGGTCGAGTGGGAAATCCTACCTATGCATTAGAATTAATATTTAATTTTTTTTTAATTAAATAAAAATCCTTGCCACCGGTGGGATTCGATCCTGAGACGTTTCGATTTCATAACTTTTTTATTTACCAGTGTAATTTATTTTTATAATATATGTTTCATGTGTTTTTTGGATTAACTAAATAACTTTCATCTGCTTAGTATTTTTAATAATTCCATCCAACCTTGGGACACCCAATATAGACGTCACTTTGACGTTAGGTAGATTCGTGATAATGACATCAATTTGCCTTACCTAGGACACCCGATATACACGTTACTTTAACGTGATATCTATTCGTCAAAATAACGATACGGAATGACGTCATTTCGCTGTGGCATTCTCACGTTACCATAACGTTATTTTCACGTCATCAAATAACGAACGCACACCAAAAAATCACGTCATAATGACGGCATGATGTTGCATGGGACATCTTTCCTATGTCAATCCTCTTGCTTCCACTTCCTATACCCCGTAATATTAAATTTACCATGTGTGACCCATCATTGAAAAGGTAATTTTATGAGGATTTTATCAATATGATCGTTGTGTTACTGTTCATTTAAGCACACATTAGCGGGGGCTAAAAATCCGTTACATATTGTAAAATGTGAAATTTCATTTGACAGCTATTTTTATTAGTAGTTTAATGTGTAGCATAAATTTGTTACTTTTGTTGAACGAGATTGAAGTTAAATTGATTTATTCTTAACTTAATGGTAAGTTCACATTTCATTTAATGCATAATTAAGTGACCAATAAGAATAGCGTTTAAATGAAGTATCACATTTTACATTTTTTTTAGTTAGTAACTGTATATAACAGTTTTTTATCACGTTAGAGGGCGCTAAAATCAAAAGCAATGCAATTATATTATAATTACTAAATTCCTTACCAAATTATAATAACTGTATTTGACACGCAACAGATTTTCTACACCACTGGGATATTTACGAATTGATCATCTCAGAGCAATACCTGTGGCAATACACCGAATGAACTTCCGTCATCTGCAGGCGCTTGGAGTATTGCTCTAGCTACATTTGTCGAGTTGTATCTTTTCAATCTAATAATAATAACTGCAAATATCGAGTGGACTGTTTTCAGTGGCCCACTTTGTATAGTTCATTTCATAGCCTTTCAGTTGCACGTAATACGGTATCTATCTCGCTTTATCGCATTAAGTTGAAAGAAATGCAAAAAACGGTATGTCCACTATACATTTTCGTGACGCAAGAGAATTATGAGAGATCTACACGTATATATTAAATAACTACAACTGACACAATACAGGCATTTCATAGGCTGCCGTTTGCTATACGTCATGGCCTCATAGTCAAATTGAAATCTTGAACATCTCTTTAGCTATTTTTGATAAACGTCAAAGTGTACGTCTGACAGTTTTTATCAGACCAGTACTTCCATTAGTTCCATTTGTAATTATTGTGGTCAATCACATTTTTTAGAAGTTGGAATATTATTTTTTATTTATTTATTTTGATAATTATAAATATGCCGAGGTATAGCGAAAAAGAGCAAGCGTTTGTATTAAAATTGCTTGCGTATTTCCAATTAGAAAAACAAGCCGGTAAAACTCTGTTGCCCGTAAATGCTGTACATTAAGTAAGTTTCACATCTTAAAGTTTAGTAAAAATTCATTGATGATCAATTAATATTAGCGTCTTTCGGCCGCCTTAGGAATATCGCTATCGACTGTAGGACGATTGGCAAATGAAGGTATTCAAGCAGATCGCGAATACTCAGCTAAAATGTCCGATTCTGTGAGCGTTAGCTGTGGTTCCAATATTCGGGAGAAATATGAACATGGTATCAGGACTTGTATATACAGAATGTTTAGTCAAGGTTGGTATTTACTAAATACATATTTTTCAAGTTAGATTGTATAAGGTTCTAAATATCTTCATCAATGTTATTATGTTTCCATTTCACACACAAATTTGTTTACTGGTTCATTATGAGTTTATTTTCAAGGGTTAGTTTTAATAATTTTTTTTGTAACATTTTTTCTTATTGTAGGCGAGCATGTGACTCTTTATACGTTGAAGAAAAAATTAGAAGATGTATATGGAATAAATAAATCAGTATCTTCACTCAGTAGGGCTTTAATAGTACATTATTTGACGAGCGGTAATGCAGGTCATAACTCACGCAGATGAAGTTTGCGTAATTCATCAAGTGAGTCGTGACTATTACCGCAAGTTGAATACTATACTTTATCTACGACTATAAAAATAAATACTAAAAGTACATTTTCTGTAAACGAGTTAACGTTCTTATTGCTACACCAATCTTGAAAATTTTAGTATTTATACTTATTTTCTGATTTTTCTAGTAATAAATTCTGTATTGCATTATTACCTACTTTTCTTATTTCTGGAGGTGTACATAATAACTTATCTTCACTATCTAAATTCATCTTTTTTTAACACTATTATTAGAAATTAATTTGAAAACGTCAAAATTATCTTGTTAAAATATCAAATGACATTATATATAATAATTTTAAAATCTTTTAATAATTATTCACTCCTTTTCAGTTGCTAAAAAATCTTTCTAACAGTTTACGCCAATGGAACATATTAACCGGCTTTAAAATTTCCAAGAATTTACTAGGCACACTATTTACATACCGATTTATCATAGGAGCCCAGTGTGAGTTATAATAACTCACTGTTAAAACTCACGCTATTTGTTTATTGATACTATTAATTGCTCAAAAGCAGTTGAATAATTAATATATAAATTAATAGGAAT